GAGTTATATCACCCTTCTATTGAAAAAATTTATTGTTCATGCGTGTTATTGTTCACACGTGTTTTAACTGTGGGAGTGCGATACTCACTATGGACTGTTTTCCACATTATAACAACTGCACTATTGCCCATGGTTGGAACTTTGGCCTCTAACTTTTCTCCTTATCCACTTGGCTTTGTATTTACTTGTTAAAATATTCAAAATAGAAGCTAGGGTTATTCATTTTTCATTCCTTACGACTCCTATCACTTCTAGCCTCTTCGGTCGCAACGATGGACAGTGTGAACATAATTGAAAACATCATGACTGCTCGAACAGCAAGCTAATTAAGCAACAACATGACATTGGCGACCTTCGCGTAATTTAATTATCTCCTCCAGACCTTGACAATCCTTCTCGAGCGAGATATATGATTTAGGTGAAAAGAGATTTCGACGGTTTACATATGGTATGAACTATTAATTTTTCAATACTTATTGAGTTATACACGACATTTATTGGATTTTCTCTCTAATCGATTTAGTTTCAACCCATGTAAGGTTTGATGTTCTACTCTTTTTTTCTTTTAGAATTCTAGATCCAAAACGATGTTTCATTAATTCTTATATATCTTGTATCTTACAGTTTCTTTTTCTGTTAAAATATTGTATATTTTCTTTGGATCTTGTTCGCTTCCCTAGAGAAATGGTTTATCCCAGGTTCGCCCCTATTCTATTTTTATTTACCCCTCTTTACTTGTAACTGGGTTAGAAAATAATTAAGATACAGTTTTTTTGGTTAAAGCTAGGTTCAAATTAAGTACCGGAAATATAGAGTTTGTTTCATGTGTCATTTACAGTCTATTGTTGTGATATGCACTTATAGGTAATCATATATATATATATATATATATATATATATATATATATATATATATATATATATATATATATATATATATATATATATATATATATATATAGACACACACACACACACACACACACACACACACACACATATATAGATTTAGGTTCACGTGAGAACTTAATCTTAGGAGAGTAAAAAAGAACAACTCACAACCGTTGGATCATCATTTCTTTTCAACCTTTCGTGTTTACACCAATAGGGTATTGTAGTCATTCAATAATATTTCTATATTTAATGCTAATCGCCCCATTTAATGCCAAATCTTTATGATTTGTTAATTTACCTTCGTGTGTGTATGTTTGTTGTATTCTTATGTTCTTTCTTTTGATATGATTTATCTTACGTATCACTTTTAATCCATCTTTATTTTATTTTATTTCATTTTATTTTATTAAATTGTTTTTAATTATATTTTAATTTTTTACCATCTTCTGTAGTTATTAAGTATATAATTCGATGCACTTTTGATAACTTGCATGTACATTAATTGTGTTTATATTTTTCATAATCATGATAATTTACATACAATTTTTTTATTTCACTGTGTCAAAGTAATGATGCACACTTTTCATTTACATTATATTCACTTTCAGAACAGAAATAATGCTCAGTATTATTGAATTATGCTGTTTGTTAGCATATAAAGATGGCAAGGACATAATGGTGTAAATATTTTTCATTGCACTTTGTCGAAGTAATGATGCACTAGCTTTTTATTTACATTACATTCACTTTCACAATAGAAACAATGCATTTTATATCAGAAAGTTTAATATAGTGATGCACTTTTGAATATATTTAATATGCAAGTGATAAAAGTGCATTTCATTTTATATAAGAGTGCCAAAGTAATTTCGAAAGTATGACAAATAGTGCATTTTATATATATTTAAAATGCACTTGCTAGTTGATAGTTTACACTCTTATATATTTATATTCATTTTTGTTTAATACATATATGGGTGTGCAAACCTCTTACACGTAAAGTGTAGGTTAATTTTATAAAAAGTGGAAATCAAATATTACATTACAAATAAAGTGCAGTATAGTGTGTAGAACGTGCAAACTAATGACATACACATGCAATTTACAAAAGGGCATTTAAAACAATAAAGTGGTACTCTGTATTTCACTTCATATCGATATCATTGATAAATGATGTTGATTATTAAAAGAGTATTAAAATAATTGTTTGCGAAAAATTAAATATTTAATTAAATTGATGTTACAAACGGTTTTCGATAAAAGTGCAAGTATTCTATGCTTGAGTGCATATCTTGTGATCTAACTTGTGCATAGTGTATTTAATAAAAGTGCATTCATACAAATTAAAGTTGTAGTGCAAAACGTTTGACTTATTAAAGTGTATTATTTTATGAGGAAATATTTAATATTAAAGAAAGTTGCGTGATCATGCAAAAAAAATGAAATAAAAAGACTGGAATTGATCATTAAATTGAAAAACAACTACGTATTTTGTGGGAAAAAATCAGGAAGGGTGTAGTGGAGGATTTAATTTTCCTAACTATGGAAACCATCCAACTATAAATCCAACGTGTACAATAGAAACCTTAAAAATTTAAAAGCATAGTAATAACCGTCCGAGAGTTTAGGTAAATTCCATTTAGTCCGGTTTTTATTAATGAGTTTTTTTAGGAAGGAGATTTAGTGGCCGGTTATATTGTAAGATCATTTTACATAGTTGCCCTTAACACTAATTTTTTGCCCAATCACGTGAGGTGCACAATTTTTTTTAAAATCCCAAGCCCTTATCTTAGCCACACGATTACATTATTGAATGCTTGGATTTTAATCTTTTTTTCTCTCCTAAGAGGGTGTTCTCACCGGAACCGCACCCTATATATATATATATATATATATATATATATATATATATATATATATATATAGGGTAAGGTTCAAGTGAGAAGAACCCTTTGGGTGAGAAATGAGAATGAATCCTAGCCATTGGATTCGACTAAGTTGCAGTAAAAGACACTTCATGATGCACTGAAATATGCAATCTAGCACGGTGGCATTTCTGTAAATACTTCTGAAAAATCTGTATTACACGTGTCTAGTGCAACATGAAGCTATTTCGGTGCAACGCCGTCAAATATTAGTGCAACATGAAACAGTTTTAGTGCAACATGTGCAAAATTTAAATATTACTGCAACATAAAGCCAATTTTAGTGCAACTTCGTAAATCCAATGACTGAGATTCATTCTCATTTCTCACATTAGATGCATTTCTCACCTGAACCAAAATCTATATATATATACATATATATATATATATATATATATATATATATATATATATATATATATATATATATATATACAGGATTATTCCTGTCCGGAATTTCCGGACAGGAGCCTCGTCCAGCCTCCTCTATTTGGGGGCCTTCCCAATGATATTTTTGCTCAAATGTTTTTTGTATGTTCCTCATCAAGTCTAGTTCATCTATACCAAATTTCAGCAAAAACATCAATCAGGAAGGTTGTCAAATGATTTTTGCAAGTTAACTGGTCCGGAATATGTATTTTCCGGGCCAGTTAACTTGCAAAAATCATTTGACGACCTTCCCGATTGAATTTTTTTCTGAAATTTGGTATGGATGAACTGGACTTGATGAGGAACATACAAAAAAAATTGAGCAAACAATATCATCAGGAAGGCCCCCAAAAGGAGGAGGCCGGACGGCGCTCCGGTCAGGAAATTCCTGACCGGAAGATTACTCTATATATATATATGTATGTATATATATTGCTAATTTTACCAGTTCTACCTTCACTCACTTAATGCTTGTTTTACTTACCAGACTTTTTCTTTTTTTGTGAATACAAAAATGTGAACAAATCTAATGACGTATTAATAGTGCATCAACGGATGAAGTAGTTTTGTACAACAATTTAACGAAATATGAAGTAATGTCCCGTTGCAAACTTCACACTTTCTCACCCTCTCAAGTATTGTGTATTTTAAGCTTTGTTTAATTGGTATTATTCCTTTTGACAAAGTTGTTAATGTTTTACTTCATCGCATAGACGCATAGTATACTTTGTCATTCTGATTGTAACATATTCAAACTTAGGTGTGAGAAGAGGAACAACTGAAGAACTATTGGTGTGTAGTGTTATTGTTTTATATTGACTTTGAATTGCTCTATGAATATAATGTGTATATCTTCATCTTGGGAGTGAAAAGTTCTCCACACTTTGTCCCAACAGAAGATAGAAGATATAGAGCAAAACATTCAACAATGGCAAGTAAAAGAAGTGTTATTTCTTTTTCTTTGTAAGAGAAAAATCCATTAATATTAGTTTTTTAAAGTGTGGTGGACAAAAATATTACCTAGTAACTATTAGTGACTATATGGTAGTAAACTTTGAACAAAATTATAGTCATTAATAGTTATTAAGTAGTATTTTTGTCCATGACTTTTTTTATTAGTAATATTTAATGAAACACGCCCCCCCGCCCTTTTTGTAACTCGGTGTTTGTAAACAGTCATGAGTCCTGGTACTTTGTATCCATAAATTTGTATTTGTAAGATACTCAATATAGTTCTTATTTTTATGGTTGATGAGAATGCCATATATTAGTGTGCTTTTTTATTTTATATTTCATTAAAAGCTTATCATTATAATCTTTCCAGTAGCCTTCGAAGCAAATGTAAAAGTGATTCCAAATGAAATTTTTTGTTTGAAATAATAATTGGAATTAAAAATTTATGAAAATCGCTATTTCTCCATTAAGGTAAATTATGAAAATGGATTTTAATGATGGAGATCTCATCTTCTCATTAAAACCTTTACTACAGAAGCTATAGTGACGGGTCTACGGGAAATTTCCCTTCAATTAAAAGTATTTAATGACAATACTATGATCTTTGCTCACAAGTTTGACCGTTAACAATAATATTTCTTGTAGTGTTAACTCTTGAATATATTACCTCATACGTACCCAGATATAGTGTTCTTGTTTCAAGATAATTAATTACAAAAAATAATTTTGAAGGTAATAATAAAAACTGAACATAAAGTTTGATGCTAAAAGATACCAATTATTAACATAGAGTATTGAATGATAACTCGTACAAATTGAAGGTAGTATATACAGGAACAATGTTGTACAAACAATTGACTATTTTGAAATCTTAATATTAGCAACTCTTAAAATAAGGACAAACAGATAAGATTTTTAAACAATACAAATCATTTAATTGTCCCTCTTCAAATATTTCTCCGTTCGGAACATGAGTTGCATTCATCAAAGATAGATGCAACCATGAAAAAATAGGAGAAATGTCCTTTGCGAAGAACAAATAAAAATTCTATATAAACACTAGACGAAGGGTTAAATTGAAGTGATAGAAGCATCCACCTTCTTATTTCCTTCCCTTTGGTCTTCAGAATTGAGAATTGTTATGCAAAATAATCAAACCATAAACACCTATATCTAAATCTCTAGAACAATATCTGCAAGAGATAAAAATAAATGTCCATTAAATGCATGAATAATATATAAGCTAGTATGTACGGTAAAAAGTCGTAACAACTTACACTCCGAATTAGTCTTATCCCATTTTCCTGTATGCTGCATTTCCTCTTGCATTTTCTCCTCCTCATCCTCCTCCTCCACTCTTGATTTTCGTTTATCCTCTAAATACCTTCTTTTCGACGGTACTCGCGGTGAATTTTGCCGGTTAATTTTTTTGGAGAGCATAGTCCTCAAAAGCTGCAAAATTTAGATTCACAAAATAATTGATGAAAAAAATCATTATGAATTGTATGAGAGTTCAAATTGTTATCAAAGCATCTCATATGGTAATTGCTATATTGATCTACATCCAAACAATAAAAAGTAAATAATGAATTAATAAGTCATTGGATTGAACTAGTTAATTGATTGCTTGAATTTATTTTATTAGTGTAGTTTGGTCAAAGTGCCTTATAACTTAGTTGAATGACCTATATTGATTATTAAGTCCTATCATTAGTTACTTTTAATCAAAGGGAAGCTCAAACTGATGTCAAAAGTGACTTAGGTGCAAGTGTGCAACTATAATTCAACTCTTGAAATAATATCAAATTCCATGAAATAATTAAGTTGTTCTTAGTCAGACAGAAAATGATAAAAACAGAATAATTTTACCTTGTCCATTCTGGATTCCTGGAATGTATCTCTTAAACTGGGAGCAGGAGCAAAACCACTTGTGCAGGCAAAGATTTTTTTGAAAAGAAAAGAAACAGACTTCTTCCCGATCGTCTTCTGCTTTTTGTTCTCACATACGTCCCTGCATCTTCTAATGATGGCTCTAATGGTTCTGTCAATCTCATCTTCATCACATTCATAATTCGTAGACGAAGAATCCGCAGTGGACGTGTTCGAAAGCGTTCGATCAAAATCCAAGTTGGAAGGACAATTGAAGAACCTATCCAAGGGGAGATCCACATCTTCCTCAGCCACACTTTTTTTTGAAAGGAGCTTACCAAGAGCCTTTTGCAACTTCCAAAATTCTTCTGTGGTGAATTCTGCTAGATCCGGTGATGAACATTCTTCTTCAATGACTTCATTTCTTTCCGGTAGTTTTTGTGTGTTCTTCATCGGGTTAGTGTTTCCAAGAGTTCCAATTGCCAGTAGGCTATCTGCAGGCCAATCATTGAACTCTTGCCGCTCTCTGTTATTAACTATAAAAAGAATTACATGTAAAAACAACACATAAAGTTATACATATAGAAATGCAAAAAGCTTATAAAATTACATATAATAAATATGTTAGGTAAGATCTCTAATTCGATCGTGAGCTTTTTAGTATTCTCGATCGATCAGTTGTAATATCAATAATAGTAATAATCTTAATTCGGTACCAGTTTTTTCCCAAATTAAGATTATTACTATTATTCGGTACCAAATTTATCCAGAACTCTTATAAAATACCAGTTACAATAAAGAACATTATTTTAGTCATGTTTGACTTTTCCAGTCAAATATGGTAAACTTTGATCCATTTTTTTTTTTTTTTTTTTTTTTTAGTAAACTTTGATCCATTATTTTAACTAATATATTTATGTGAAACTTAATAAATTTATACTCTTATGATTGTATTTTTTAAAAAAGAACATTTTCATATCACTTTTATATTATCAATATTGCTGTGTATAAATATATAATCGATTAAAGTTTAACATCTTTAACTTGAAAAGTCAAATTTGACTAAATAAAAAAGGACGGAGGGTGTATGATATTATAATAAAGTATCACAATTTTTATATTGTAATAATAATTGTAAAACATTTTTATGAAAACAAAAATAGTACGGAGCTAATATATTAGTACCAAGCCATTTTAATTTCATAAATAATGACTTATAATTCAATAATAATCAATAATGTTTGCAATTAAGTCTTTTAGGTTTACAAAGTAACAAGGTCATTAAATTTGTGGGACTTTCCTACTCAGTTTTTTGAGCTCATTTAATGGGAAAAAGATTTATACCCCTCCACAATATAACAACATGCATGAATTCTTTGGGTATTATTTTCCAATGTGTATGGATACTTAACTAGCATTAATTTAAACTCATATATATTCTTATTTCAGCCTAGTTGATTAGTATAATTATTAGACATTTATTTATACACAACATATATCAAAATCAAACTAATATTTTATAGTGGATGGATTCATTACAAATTAAAGTAATATTTATCAATCATTTTTCTTATAATCTTTATTTGTATAAAACAATGAGGTAGAATCCAAATTAGTAGTTCTAAAAAAACAAATTAGTAATGAGTTTTTCCTTGTACCCATAAAAGGTGGTGTTAAGTCAAGTGATATATACACTGCAATGATTGTTCCCACTCACATAAAATATAAAAAACATTACAAGCTAAGCTTCAATATGATATTTTATCATATTTTAGATCCAATTATTAATGGTTATAGTCTTATAGATACATATTATCCTTTTAGATATCATTAATTGCAAATTAAGGGAATATTTTTTGTTGATGTATTCACAAAATAAAATATGTAATTATTGCCCATGTAAAGTTTGCCCAAACAGACTAGTTATAAAGTGGTTAAATATTTCATTATTTTAGAAATGATCAGTAAGATAGATATGAGGCATATATAACTATGACAGTATGACTTTTAATATGAGAAAGTCATTAGCCAATTCCAACTATGCTAATTTGTTTAAGATGTTAAGGTAATGACATATATAGTGTAAAAAATTGAGCACATATGATTTGACATTTTCAAGATGTTTGTTGAACAATAAATACATAAGTTTTAAAACGTATTTTACGAAATATAATATTTAAAATTTTATACATTAATACTCAAGTTCTAAAAAAATACTCAAGGTTATAATGTGGCAGATCAATTATGTATGTCACTGATAAAAAGGCATGTCGTTGCAGGAATCCAACAACGTCTAGGTCTACGTATAAGGGGTTGCTTCCAAAACTTGAACATGTAACGTCTCGATCACACAATTCAACAACACCTTAATTGATGCTCCAAAACTCTTCTTTGATATATGTCACTTTTATTTAGATTTTTTGTGAAAATAATAATTAACTTTAATAAGTCACCAAAGCCTATTGAACCTTATATAAGAATATTAAACTTTTCAAATTACATATTTATTTGATGTTTGAGAATTGTTATAAAAAATTATACTTTGTGTTATTATACTTACTTAAAAGTTGATACTCCCTCCGTCCCAAATTGTTTTGCAAAGTCAACATTTTTTTGTCAATCGATAATAAAAGTCAATGTTCTGTATCGATATTTAATTTAATTTTTAATAATTGAAATTTATATATTCAGAAACTACATTAAAATCTCTTCAAATATGTAAACTCCAAATTAGAATATAATTAAAAATTAACATCCTAATTAAGTAAATAAAATGAAACTGTTTAACCAAGAAAAGTCAAATTTGCAATAAAATTTGGGACGGAGGTAGTATAACCCATGCAAAACATGAGTACTAATCCAATACCAAATATACAAATACAAAATAACATACTATCTACATCCCTTTTAGTTAGTCATCTTTACATTTTCCTGTCATCTTTAATGACTTGAAAAGTCTAGGATGACTTGCTAAAAAGTCAAAAATTTAATATGTTCGAATATAAATTAATATATAAAGTCATTCACACATAAAAAAAAAAAAAACTCCGTACAATTTAGCAGTACATATGAAAAGATATGTAGGAAAAGGGAGCCTTAGCTTACCGGTGGGAGGTGGAATCCGATTGGTTTTGGATCCTGCTGCCTGCACACCATTGAATCTGTGTTGCATCCAACTAAAAAACTGCTTCCACACAAATTAAAGGACACAATTATTCAAAAGAATTAATTATTACGCATTAACATAGATTATTTATGTGTATAAGAATTCAACGAGGTTTAATTATGTACTTTAATTACACAAACATAAACACGTACCTTCATTATTATATTTTGAAGAAGGTAGCTAGCTAGGCAGCCTAGGCTAGGGCAGAGTTATGGAAAGCAGCTAAGGAGTATATACACATATAAATGAAAAATAAAACTTAGTTTGGTTATGCAGCAGGACGATAGATGAAGTTTATTGTACGAAGCTAAGCTAAGGGCTAGTACTGTGATGGAAAACCTGGAAGGGGATGGATCCTAGGATTTAAGCTAAAAAAATCTATGCTTTATGAATACTAAATACTAAAAAAAGTTTAAAGTATTATTGGGATTTGATGTCTGGAATTGAAAACATGCCCAATTGGCCAACCTGCTGTTGCTATCCACCCCGGCCATGTTTTCATTGGTTCAACGCAACTTCCTAGTTTCATACTTTTCTGTTTGTATTGCTTCAAATTCACGTGTGCACATATAAGCTCTGTCCACCATTAGACAAGGTTATGCATCTTTAGAAGACATAAATCACTCAATTTTAATTTTTTGTTGTTAGATTTCCACAAATCAATTAAATAGGTCTAATACATGCCTATTTTCTGAAAATTGGACCTAATGTTTAAAAATCAGTAAATAGAACTTGCGGAGTATTATTTGTGATTGGACAAAATACCCTTATAGGGTTGTAGCAGTGCGACAGTGCTGGCACCAGATCGACCACCAGGTCATCGTTGGACCGCCAAAAATTTTCCACCGATCGATCTACTGTCAGAATGCTGCTTGCGGAGTTCTGCGACGCTACTAGCCTGCCGTCACCAACAAACTAACCCGATTGTGCTAGGGAACTAGGGACAATTAATTATATTTGGGGCAAAACACCTAAAGAGAGTGTTTGGTAGACATAACTTTATAACTTTTAACTTTTATACCATTTAAAAAGCCTCTTAAAGCGATATTTTTAATTTTATCACGACAATTTTTAAGAGCTTTTTCATATTTTTAGAAACTAGCTAGATTGAGTAACTTAATTGTGACAGAAAACTTATATCTTTTAATAGTAGTTAGTTAAAACATGTTATAATAAACTGAGCAAAATCAAATAGATAGCTTTTATCAAACAACTATAGTTTTTTTCAGAGTTAAAACATGTTATAATAAACTGAACAAAATCAAATAGATGGCTTTTATCAAACAACTATAGTTTTTTCAGAGTTTTTCTCAGTCACTAAAAGTTCATAGTTACTAAAAAACTTACAAAAGTATATCTTTTTAGCTGGTTAGTCAAATATACTCACAGTCTTCGCTAACCATTACTAAAAACTCAAAAATGTATCTTTTCAATTTTTAAACGCTAGCCGTTACTCAAAACTAGAAAATGTATCTTTTCAACTGTCTATACGTGAAGTATTACACAAATGAATGTATTACTCAAAACTAGAAAATGTATCTTATCAATCCTTTTTTTGTACCAAGAAATTTTATCAATCTAGGACATCAAAAATATATCCACCATTATTAACATATACGGAGTATAAAAGATAAAGTATGTCGATATAGAGCCCGAATGAATGAAAACTATCAATCTAAAACTTAAAATTCCATGAAATTAATATTTTTTACTTTTAAAATTTAAATATTATTCGATCTTATTAAACTTATAAACTTGGGTGAAGAAAAAATCATCAAAAATTACCAATGGAATTAATAACAAATTAAATTAATCAGAATCTATGCCATTTTAGCTTTGTGATTGATATCAACTATTCAGACCTTATAACGACACATTTCATCCTCAGTTCCCTATTAATAGTGAACTTAATTATCTTTCAGGTTCTCGATTAATAAAATTCCTATATTTTACTACTTTTGTTGCTAAATAGATATTGTATGTTTGGCACAACTAGCTGAAAAGATGAACTTTTAAGTAATTATTAGTTTTGAATGACTGAAAAGATCCTAAAAGAAAAAGGCACTGCCTGTTTCATAAAAAATTGATGTTTAATTTAGTTATGTTTGGTATACGAGCTGTTTTCATTAATTAATGTTGAAAGCTACATACTTTTCTCAGATGCTATTTAGGCTATGTTTGGCGGGCATAAGTCCCTGACTTCTAATTTTTAAGATTCTTTCAGTCACTAAAAACTAACAGCTATTAAAAAGCTCACAAAAATATCTTTTCAGCTAGTTGTGCCAAACATGCCCTTAATGTAACTTCTCAAAAAAGATCTTTTATTTAGTTTAGTAACTCTTAAAAATCATCGCACTAAACACACAATTAGAAGCTTTTAATGATTTTAAATAGTACGAAGTTAATGACTTATGTCTAGCAAATATGCTCATATTCAAATTTAACCGTCATAGAGTTTACCAAAAATCCCAACACAACAAGTGCCCAGCACAACAATGCCTAAAATTTATTTTCCAAAATACCTACAAGCCAGCCGCCAGAGCCAGGCGGGCGGATGCAATTGAAAAGGAATGGGGCACAGCCGCACAGGCCCCTAATGAATTTATAGTTTTATTCAACTTTTATTATATAATTTTATTTTATTCAAATAGAAAGGTGCCCTAATGAAATCAAAAGAGGCCCCCATTAATATTACCATATCTCATTATTGATGAATGGCACTATCCTCTCAAGTCCTAGTCTCCAAAGTCCCTACCCCTTCATTTTAACCTACTTGTTGGTCCCAAATACCAAGATGAAAGAACAGCTAAATAAGATCTACAATAATATAGAGAAAGATTATTAATAATGATCAAGAAATAATCTGAACAGAAGAAATTCTTACGCTATACTATCGAGAAAGAAAGAACGAAAACTCTGAGTGAAAGGCGCTGTATATTTCTGATTATCGATTATTCGGTCCTGTACCACATGTACGCATATTTATAGGCGTAGGTACAGGTACCGAAATGGTAACCTAGAACTTTGGGCCTAAGGCCTTTTTGGGCCCTATTCCCTTAGCTCATTTATTCTTTACATAAAAGCTATAAAAGATAAGTCTAATCTAATTGGGATAACAAGACTCTAGACAAACTTGATCACAATAAATATTTTCCTCAACAATCTCCCCCTTTGTGATCAAGTGCTGTCGTGCTTCTTCTTCTCTTCACTACTGAGCTTTATAATAATTCTTCCTGAGATTAAGAGCGTGCTCATAGTTTATAATAGTTTTATTCAACTTTTATTATATAATTTTATTCAAATAGAGAGGTGCCCTAATGATATCAAAAGAGGCCCCCATTAATATTACCATATCTCATTATTGATGAATGGCACTATCCTCTCAAGTCCTAGTCTCCAAGTCCCTACCCCTTCATTTTAACCTACTCCATATTATTAATTAATAATCTAATTATGAAAGAAGTCAATAATCAAAATAATAATTGTTGTAAGAGTGCAAGTGCAACTGTGCAAGTGAGCAAGTCTATTGTCGAATGAGTATTCAAAAAGTTTATTCATGAAGGGTCAAAGCTCATTTTAGCTTTTAAGAGTGCAAGTTTATAAATTGACAATTAAAATTTTCTTTTTATGTTCCAATGAAACATTTTCTCGATTTCTTTATCTCTCAAATCCAATTTTCCGACTTGTATTCTAGCTCTTTTTTCCATGTCACTAAGTTTCTAAAACTACTCTATCTTTTTACTATTTTGCTTCCTATTTCGGATTTTAATAATATGTTTATAAATTAGTTCATTTCCATTTCGTGCTTAGATTAAAATTTAAAATTTTGAAATTATTAATTTCAGTTTTTATAAGGGTGCTAGATTGTTGATCATAACAAACTTTTTGTTGAGTTCCAAAGACATAGTACATATTTCTTTTTAGTTAATATCTAATTTAATTTTAGTTTTCAGAAAATGATTATTCACTTTAATATTCACTAGTATAATTTCGAAATGAAATATATTTGGACAAATTAATTAAACAACGTTAATGAGATATTTTAAAAGAAAAACATCGTCTTCATTCAAAAAACGGAGGTGCCAGGAGAAAGTTCAAGTGTTAAACAATACATCTTCACAAAAAATTTGATTTAAATTTGTTCCTTACATAAAAAAAGTTGATTTGATCACAAAAAAATGTAGTGTAAAACAACACAAAACATTTTGTTTTGTCAAATTTGTTATGTCGTAAAAGATATGTTTGGTATAGTTAGAGCTAATAAAATGTAATACGGAATACTTTATGGTGTGCTAATGTTGGATTATTTCATCATTTGAACTTAATTTATACTCGTACTTAATTATTTAAAAACAAAACAATCTTATTTTCTTCTAATAGTTGCCCAAACCACAAAAACTCTTGGATCCGCCCCCATAGCCAGAGCAGTATATTGGACTGGCCAGGTCGGTAAAAAGATTATTTTTGAAATGTTCTTACATGATTTTTTGCTAATGATTTAAATAAAATTAAAATTTAGAGTGGACTGGGGAGCCTCTTGACTATGCCCTTGCTAAAGACACCTCCAAATTTACATCATCCGTAAATGAGTACTATCAATATTGTTGGGACTTGGGACAAGACCCAAGCCAAATAACAAGCCAAACATGCACCATGAGCCAAACCAACACAGGAACTGAGAGATTGGACCGGGTCCAATGGAAGTGGACCAGTCGGGTCTTAGAAATATACTCCGCATGTAGTTCAATTACGGAATAACATAGAAATAAATGAATTTAAAATATTTTTTGAAATAAGAGATAATTTTAAGGCCATACAAAAATTGTTTGGATCTTAGGATGTTTTTACTAATTTGTCCCAGACCAGACCAGTCCAGACCAGACCAGTTCAGACCAGACCAGACCAGACCATACCAGACTTGGATAGTTATAAAAATACAAAGAAATCAGACCTTACCAGACCAGACCAGACCAGTTCAGACCAGACCAGATCAGACCAGACCAGACCAGACCAGACCAGCAAATTACAGTCCAAGTAAAAACATCCTTATAGGTGCAATATATAGGAGTATCTGCTTTGTACCGATTCATTCGTATTATGTTCTGTCAATATAATTTCGGTGGATGTCCAATCTCGACAATAACTTAACAAAAAATCTGTAGTTGTCAAAAAACTCAAAATGGACGTGCGGGCAGAATATATAGAAATTTAAGTAATTTGGTACAAAAAAATAAGTACTCCGTATTTAGACAATAATAAATACATCAACTCAAGTATTATTTCAGAAATAGTTTGATGGATATATAACAAAAAAAATCTTGTACACATTTTATTACACACGTCTGTGATCA